TTAAAGACTATTAATGAATTTTATAGGAATTTCATTTTCTTTCAAAATTTACTTAGATTAAAAAAAAAAAAAAAAAAAAAAACTATTTCTGTTTGTTTTCTATTGGTCTTATTATTAAGTTTTAGACGGTTTGGGTCGATGTTGCTATTTTTGATAAGATTATAATTGTTGAAAGTAATAATGTCATCAATATATCTATCTATAAGTGTGTTCAAATTTACTGAAATTGTTATCAGAAAACCTCTCTAGGAACTTGATTTCTTTAGAAAATAGAAATAAGTTACAAAGTTGAGCTGAATATGAACTTTCTATTGGAATTCCTTGTGTTCGCAAGTAAAGGCATTTTGAATGTTTAATATAGTTATTGTATAGCAAAAATGTAGAAATTCTTTCTATTTTTGTAAATCCAGAATATTAAGTATTTCAGGAAAACATTTTGTCGCTTCTAAAAGACTTTCGTAGATTTCTTTGAGTGGTAGAGATGTGTAGAGGTTTTCAAAGTCATAGGAGTTAATATTGTAAATTTTAAGATTTCTAACATCTATGATTTTCAAGTTGTAGATAATCCAGCAGAAGTTCTTGTCAGCTTGTTAAAAAATATACAGTCAAAAGTCGTTAATTCGGACACCCATAATCCGGAACGCCGCGGCGCGGAATGAATTGGAAGTTGATCTGTCAGCACTATCCTTATCTTCAGGGCAGTTGTTTTTATTTTATTTGTCTTATAATTCCTTACTAAATGTAGTATTTCATCTCGATGTACTCTGTCTTTGATACGATTTAAATCAAATTCCTCGTCATTATACAGTCAAAAGTCCTTAATCCGGACTCGTCGGGACTTTCCGGATTATCGATTTTTCCGGATTATAGATCATCAGTTTAAATCTGGTAAGATGGCATGCAGAAATTATAAAATTAAAAATATGAAACCGTAATTTATGAAATAAAGAACAATTATGATCTATCAAAATATATCAAAATTTACAAAAAAAAAAAGCTTAATATTTATTTGTTTACTTTATTAAACATTTCTTTCAATGTAAGTTGTTTAAGTTGCTTCGTTTCATGTGACAATACTTTCTCTTTAATTCTATTAAACAGACAGAATTTCTTGTTTAGTTACAAAGTTCCGCTGTTCAAGTCCTATAATTGCTGTGTCGAGAATACCGACTAATTTGTCAGTCGAAATTTTTTCGTTTTCAAAAACCTCTGTGTCACTTTCTTCACTATCGGAAGTGAATTATAATGACGAGGAATTTGATTTAAATCATATCAAAGACGGAATACATCAAGATGAAATACTACATTTAGTAAAGAATTATAAGCCAAATAAAATGAAAACATCTGCCCTGAAGATAAGGATAGTGCTGACAGATCAACTTCCAATTCATTGCGCGCTGCGCATGGTGCATTATGGTTAAAAATAAAACTACGTATGTTTTTTTTTTTTTGTTTGTTTTTGTTTGTTTGTGTGTGTGTGTGTGCTTGAAAGAAACTTAAATTTTAGAATTTATTGCAGGAAATTTTTGTTGTGCTTTTTTAAAAATGTTATGAATTTGAAGATCATCATAATTTTTACGTAGAAATTTTATGGTACAGAATTTTTTTATATATATAGAAGAAGCACAGTTGAATTTGAATTTTATGAAATCAACTACTAAATCTTTAATGAGTTTATTACCTTCGAATTTATCTCTGACAAACTTTTGAATGATAATAAGATGTTTGTGAGGTAAAAAATGAAGGTATTTAAGTTGTTGTTGTTATTAATTTGGCTGTTCAAATAAATCTTGAAATTTTGACTTAACTTTTTTGCTATTTCCTCTGGTAGCTCTTTGCATTTATTTACAAAAAAGACTGAATTGTTCGTAGACGGTAGCGTAAAAGGCAGATTTACTATTAATAGAAGAGTTTAATCCATATAGATATATATAGAGTTTAATCCATATAGATAAAGTGTTCGTAACTGCAAAACATATTGAGATTCCTTAAAAAGTCTAGTTTTAAGATTAGGTACTATATCTAAAATTTTGATAGTAATATGAGTAAAATCGTGACTTTTAAAATGTTCATGTTCTTTGGTAGTGGAATTAATACTATTTTTGCTGTTTGAAAATTTTTTGGGTAAAGTGCAGAATCGCCCACTTATTTGTTTTGCATTTGTTTGGCACTATTTACAAGAGTAAGATGAATTTTTGTCAATTTTCTTTGACTTTTTAAGTGAAAATAGGTCGATGTGCGCAATGTTATTTTTGTGCAATTCTGAGATTTTTTTAAGTGAAAATAGTTCGATGTGTACGTGAATACAGAGTATGTGCAATTCTTAAAAACGTGCCAAGCAGTGTGAGATTCTGCAACTTCCCCAATTTTTTTAATGTGGAACCATATATATATTTATATATATAGTAAAAGTAGAAAGCAGTAAATTAAAAATTGAGTGACCTTATGTATATGTTATCGGCAAAGTATGAATGCCTAGGCATTATATATATGCCGGACCATTTTATTAAGCAAAGTATGAAATATGAGAATTTTTACATACTTTACCTAGGCATTCTGTAGAATGGGAAATTCTCTTTAGGCAAAGTATAAAAAAAAATTATGAATAAGGCTATTATTTAAAAGACATTCTTTCTTCAAAAATACAAATGTTATTTTGAAAAACTACTGAAATGGTGCCATTAAAAAACTATTATTAAAAAAAGTATTGCAAGATGATCTTGATACAATATAATAAATTTGTATTTTCTATCTGGCTGAGACAGGGAATCAGTAAGCTCTACCTGACAATGGAAATTAAATTCAGAAACAATCATAAGTTTCACAACAATGCCCTTTTTAATACATTTTTGTTTTTTTCTGGCAGGGTTCACAAAAGTGGTTGTACAGTTCAATATCATTAGGTGCAACTTTTTTTTATTTGGTTGAAAGTTTTTTTTGAACATTCTATCATGTCGTTTGTGCAGTACTTGATGTCAAACGAGTTTTCATGAAGTATGAGAAATAACCCAGCATCCGTGACGTAATACTGCATAGTACTTTTGCTTTCTTTAACAGGATAAATTAATGTAATTTTGTTTTCCCACAAACACTTAATCCTAGCGATTCAGCAGTAGTCACGTGGTTCCTTCTTCGTAGTCATTTTGGCCTTTTTACATCATTTATTAACTTCTGGTAAGTAGTAGTTCGGTTCTTCGAGCCAAACTGAAAATGTATTTCATACTTTGCCGGTTTATCATATAGCATTCTATAGATTGCTTAGGAAATGTGTATGAATAATTTCATACATTGCCAGCTAGTTTTTGGCATTATATACAATGCCTAGGTAATCTATAGAATGCCGGATTTCAAACTTTGCTGGTAACATATATATGTAAGAAAAATAAAGAATATGTAAAAGATTAAATTAGCAGCTTAAATTCCCTTCTGTATTCTAAAAAGAGTTACCTCTATTTGTACTGCATCATTTTGAGATTAATCCGTGTCATATTATTGTGTATTTCTTATGATGTAAATGAAAACTAAAACTCAAATGGCCAATACTAATTTTACAGCAATATTAACTATTCAGTCAAACTGCATTGAGAACCAAAACTAACTCAGTCTGAATTAAGATTTCACCTTGAACATAACACACTTGCTTTCTACCCTTTGACCTATCTTGACTACAGTCTGTCTGCTCTTCTATCTTACTGCAAATTTATGTAAAATGTAAACTTTTTAGAATAGGCACATTTAATGTTTGTTTGTGGTCGCAAAATGTTGCTGAAATAAAAAATGAAGATTTAATCTGCCTTCGTCCCAAATTTCCTATTCATTATGGATCAAAACTTCTACTCCATAAAAATTCCTGCTGTTCATTCACTTCTGATCCTTTGTTTATTTCTTTTATTATATTAAAGAAGTAAGACTTTAAATTGATTTCTTAAAATTGTGCAACAATAATAATAATTTTCAGAAGCTTTTGAGTTATGCTTTGCTGCATTTTAATTAGCTGCATTAAGAAATGATGCTGCTCATAAAGGCAAGAAATCCATTTCATCTCCATATTGTGATAAGGCATGCAAGATAATGGTGGCAAAATTCTTGTTTGTTCTTATCTATAAATGATCAGTTTTTACACGTTAAGTAATGTTTAACTTATATTGATTGCTTACAAGCTGTATAATTCTGTTAGCAGAAATAAATATTGAAGAAATTTATTTTCAAAATTATAATTAAAGTGTATATGATAGTATGTACTATACAAAGTCCAAAACCCAGATGTCCCATGTCCAGAATAATCCAATATCTGGACCATCAGCCAAAAATAAACAAATAAATAAATAATTCCACGTTACAAATTCTAGGAATGGGGAATAGTATAATAACTAAAGAAGCAGATGTGCCATGAACGTCATTTTTCTCCGGACTAACTGAGATTCTTGTATGTCACTTTCAAATACGTGCTGGCTAAGGAATCGCACAGTGGTCAATAACAGTGCATTGGCTTGACATTGTATTAATGTTGTCTAGGATCACAGTTTTGTGGTTGGCAGAAGCAGAGCGAGTGATATGCATTTTACCACTTATTGTCATCTTTACAGGTCCTAAATACTGCTGTTTGGTACATTCCTAAATTCTAAAAATTTTGCCACCCTTGACTTCTACAGCCCAATACCTGTCTTAAATTCTAAAATATTTGCCCTCCCCCCCCCCAAGGAAAAAGTTCTGACACATGAAGGTCCCGCTCCAGTTGTTACTCTCTCTGGGTTTTGTGGAAATGTTAGCATTTTTTTATCTGACATAAACAGTAAGTGATACTTACTGTGGCATTGTCTACATGTTATCTTACTAGATTTAAAATGATGGTCCAAAATCTCTGAAAAACTGATGATTCTGGATCTCGGACTTTGTATTGTAATCATGAAGCAATGTATTGAAATTTTAGTTGTGAACTTATTCGTTTCTCTTTAATGAGGGGAAAAAGTATTGAAAAAAGTTTCATATTTGTTTTTCAGGTTTCATAAGTTAATTGAACATGGAAAGAAAACCGCATAAATTAAAAATTGAAGATGATGAAATGAAACCGAAAAGACTTATTCCTAATAAACCACGTGAAGACACAGTTGCTTCATCCAGTGATGAGAATAATAGAAGTCCTGTAGAACCAAAAATGGAAAATAGTAGTAGTTCTTTTAAAACTGAGGAAGAAAAATTTGCTAGCCGTGTCGAAATTCCCCTGAGGAAATTCCCCAAAGCCGTGGTCGAAATTCCCCAGTGAAAGCCGTGGTCATTCCCGAAAGTGAGACTGCTAGCCGTGGTCGAAATTTCCCAAGTGAGACTGCTAGCCGTGGTCGAAATTCCCCAAGTGAGACTGCTAGCTGTGGTCGAAATTCCCCAAGTGAGACTGCTAGCTGTGGTCGAAATTCCCCAAGTGAGACTGCTAGCCGTGGTCGAAATTCCCCAAGTGAGACTGCTAGCCGTGGTCGAAATTCCTCAAGTGGGACTGCTAGCCGTGGTCGAAATTCCCCAGAACCAAGCTGTGCTATATGCTTAGAGCAGCTTCAAAATAAGTCATTTACTGATAGTTGCTTTCATATGTTTTGTTTTACATGTTTGGTTGAATGGTCAAAAGTAAAACCTGAATGCCCTCTATGCAAGCAAAAGTTTAAAAGTATTGTGCATAATGTTCGCTCAGATTTAGATTATGATCAGTACTATATTAGAGGGTCTGAGAATATGTGGACTTACTTTGGAGATCGGAGATTTCGGTTTCGTACTACAATGACTGCTGAAAGATTTGTTGAAAGAAATCATATTTCATTACAAGATACTCTTAATAATGAAATTGCATCTCACAGAATGAGATACGCACCCCATTCTGTTAGACTTTATTCTGCATCTCAAACTGTATTGCGTATGCCATGCAGTTTTAGGAGACAAATTTATGAAGAAAACTTATGGGTAAAACCATATGCCGGAGTTCGAATTAGATTTATAACTCCAGAATTTTACAGAAATAATCCAGGTTGCACACATAGATTGCATCGATGGCTTTACAGAGAATTAACTGCTTTGTTATATAATGAAAACCAAGTGACTTTTGTCATGGAATTAATCATGGCTTTGATTACACGTTATGAAATTACAAGTCAAGAATTTTTTCTCCATATTCAACCCTATTTTAACTCTCGTACAAGCCATTTCATTCATGAATTTTATAATTTTGCTATTTCACCTTATGACATGGAAAGCTACGACAGACATGCATCTTATAATTCTTTAGATACAAACAAAGTAACTCATGATCTGTCATCATCTGACAGTGATGTCATTCCACTTTCTAGTAGTAGTGGATCAAAAGATGCATCATCTGTAACTGCAGAAGAATCTACTTCTGAAAGGAACAAACACATACAAGCTTATAAACGTCTGAAAAAATTGGTTCTGAAAAGAAACAGTAAAAATGATTCTTGGGAGCATGTTGCACCACCAGTGTCACTGCTTCATAATTACAGCAGTATGTCTAGCGTCCCATTTTTATATTCAAATCCTGGACCTAGCACATCTGGTTTCAATTCATCTTCGTTCAGAATGCCGCATGATACCTCATCGGTAGAAGTTCAACCTTCTGATGATAATAATAATAATGATGATGATGATGATGATGATGATGATGTCCAAATATTAAATGTGCTTAAACCTCCAAAAGAGAGAACACCTGAAATTGTTGATTTGTTGTCAAGTGATGATGAGTCAAAAATTATTGTTGTATCATCTGGTAATGAGAGTTGTTCTGATACTGAGAGGGGCTCTTGTGTAAAAGCTCCCTCAGAAGTCCAGAGTTCTAAAAATATTGATGAGCCATTTTCAAGTGATTGTGTTTATGTTCCTTGGAATGAACCTTCAACATCTAACTCATATAAAATTGAAAATGTCACATACAAAGTAGAAAGTGATGTTAATGTATCCGGAAGTAATAATGCTGAGCCAAGCTCTTCAGGTGGAAAAAATATTGAAAGAAATCAGTTCACAGAAGTGAAAAAAAGTCCAACTTTAGCCTCTGCCGTGGTTAAACCACTGTCGGTAGTAAATAAGTCTGTTGCTTGGATTCCACATGCCAGACGTAAAAGACGTAGTCCTTCACCAACAAATGATGATGGAAGTTCAACTGAAAGTTGCTCAGGTTTTGAAAATTTTTCAGAGTTAACTCCAAAAGTTAAGACTCTGAAATTGCGTAGTGTAGTTGCACATTTTTCATTTGATCGCAGTGACGAAAGAAACAGTTCTGGTCATCGTTCTTCACACAAGAGAAGGAAAGAGAAAAAAAAGAAAAAGAAAAAACACACTCATAAACGTAAGCATCGTATTTATTCAGATGAAAGTGATTGATTGATCAACATATTAACATTTGACTGGATTATTGTTTTCTACCTATCTACTCATATTTGTGGTTTTTTGTACATAGTTTGGGAATCATTTTTTCATATTAATTGTGTATGTATGAATTTTTCAAGCTATTCATCCTAACATTATAAAAATTACGTACCTTGGATTTTCTTAGTATGTGAGTATAAAGAAATATTGATTATTTTTTGCCATTGATTTTTGTTAACATATTATCTTGTACTTATTTATACAATTTTTATTTCATACTTTAATAAAGTATTAAAATCTGTAGTAATTTAGAATAAATATGTTAAATTGTAATAGCTTTCAATTGCAATGTATAAACAGAAAGAAGAAAGAAAATTGTAACTTGTTTTCTAGTAACAAGCTTATTAAATTCGCTTTTATTTGAAATACAAAATCAAGCATTATGAAGATGTAAAATATTCACAACCTAAAAGTTTTTAATTAATTATTTGTTACTTTACACTTACTAAGGGTGCTGTTATTACTGTAATCTCCTACCTCAGGTTGCTTCATGCATATTAAGTTTCTAAAGATAAGAAGGTTTTTTTTTTTTTTTTTTTTCTCTCATGGCTTCATCTGTTATCTGAAATTCATGTATAATGACATAAAGTCATATATAAATATACATATTACCATGAGCTACGTATGAATTGGGAATGAGTTAAATAAATGCACCAGGGGACAACAAACAACGTTTTAGTCAAACTTACAGAATAAATGATTAATTATTCGTAGCGGCAACAAAATACGTCTCAGTCTAAATCCTTCCCTCACAGGGAACTTTTCGAAGAAAAGTACTTTCAGTTGAGGATTTTTCACGAAAATTTTGAATTTAAATACATTATTTTTTTATTTTTTATTTTTTTTAGAGAAAGATTCAAGGTCTGTGCCTATATACAATAAATTACTCTGACCAATAGTACAAGTGCTTCAAAAAAGATTTTAATGCATAAAAGTAATATCTAATATACAAAAATTAAACATGAATTTTAAACCCAGTGTTTTTTTATCCAACCATACTAGAGGATTATGATCAGTCTGAATGATGAACTTATGAGGTCTATCTAGGTTTTTACTTTTGTACTGCTAAGACAATGGCAGTACAAAAGGGAGTATTGGCAAGGGAAAATATTGTGTCCTAGTTGCCTTGTTCAAGCGACAGTAATCAATGCCATTGTCTTGCCTCTTTTCCAGGAACTTCAACCAGTATGAGTGGAGAGGTAATTACTTTGAGTTTTATCATCTTTCCTACTTCAGTTTTTAAAATCTTGGCTTGCTGACAGACATTTGACAAGGTTTTGTTTCACAGTGACTCCCTTTCGATTGCACTGTACTTCTGTTCAGTAGGTAAAAACTTTTTGTTAAGAAATATTATTGGACTTTCTTTGCCTCTAGCATTTATCTATGATAATACAAAGCCAATACCAATATTCAAAGTGTCGCACTGAACGATAAATGGCTGAGAAAAGTTTGAACTGTATAAAACTGGATTTTGTGTTAACCGCTTCTTGAGTTCATCAAAAGCGTTTTGGCAGTCATTAGTCCAATTTATGATTGATTTGCAACATTTTCCTTTTAACAAATCCGTCAGTGGTGCAGAAATCACAGAAAATTCAGAAATATACCTTCAATAATACCCCAAAAGTCATAAAAATAACCGAACTTGTGTTTTTGTGCGGTAGGTTTAGGGAAGTCCTTTATGGCTTGGATTTTTATTTCTGCTGGTCTTCTTTGACCTTGTCCTACTACATGACCATATTTATGGTCGTATGAGCAAACTGACATTTCGAACGCTTAATATGCAATTTAGCAATTTTCATCTTCAAGATAAAATCTAAGTGCTTCAAATGTTGTTCCCAGGTTTGCGAGAATACTACAACATCATCAACATAGGGTACAGCAAATTCTTACAGTTTCTTAATAACCCTGCCATCAAACGACTAAAATCATAGGGTGCATTTTTTAGCCGGAAAGGTAACCTTAAGAGTTTAAATGTTTCAAAAACTTGTCACAAAAGCAGTGTAACACTGTGCTCATTTAGTTAGTGAGATTTGTCAGTAACCTTGAGTGTGATCTAGAACAGTTATATATCTGGCAGATGACACTTTTTCCACTAAATATTCAATGTTTGGCAAGGAAAAATATTATGTCCTAGTTGCCTTGTTCAAGCGACAGTAATCAATACATGATCTTGCCTCTTTTCCAGGAACTTCAGTCAGTATGAATGGAGAGGTAAAATCCGATTCACCTGGTTCTATTACTTTAAGTTTTATCATCTTTCCTACTTCAGTTTTTTAAAATCTCAGTTTGTCTGGCAGACATCCGTTAAGGTTTTGTACATATCGGTCTTTCTGCTTCTAATTCTTTATCATGTTCGGTAAGGTCAGTACATTCTGGTTCATTAGTGATGATACAGGAATACTTGTATATCAACTGTTTTAAATCTTTTCGTTGGTCTTCAGATAATAGTGAATTCAACTGGATGCCTTGCAAAACTTCAGACATTTCAGTATCTGTGCTGTAATTTAAACTTGATATTTCATCTTCATAGCCATTTATCCTATCTTCTAAACATAGTAAGTTTATATTTTCTGTTTGTTAAAAATACGGTTTCAGCATATTAATCTGATACACTTGAGTTTATTTTTCTCGGGGAAATACGACTACATAACTTGTCGTCTCGGATAATTGTTAACTATTTTTCCAGGACCGATGGAGCTACAACTAGAACTAAGTCTCCTTGAAATTTGCGTTTTATGGCTTTGCGATCATACCAGAGTTTTTGCCTTTCTTTGGCTTTTTCCATACGCTGGACAGCAAGCTCTTGATATTTACTCATTCAATTCATTAGTTCAAAAATATAGTCTACTACTGTATTTTCTTCCTCTTCTTTACCAGATAATTTTTCATACAATATCTTAATTGCAGTTTTTAAATTTCTGCTGTGAACTAATTCTGCAGGCGAGATATCGGTACTGTTGTGAATAGTGGTTCGAAGAACAAATAAAGCCCGAGATAAGATTTTATCCCAGTCCGCACCAGATTCTAGACATAAAACTCGAAGAATTCTTTTTTAAGCTCTATGCATCCTCTCTACAGGATTGCTTTGTGGGCGGTAAACAGAACTTCATACAACTTTAATTCCAAATTTTTCTAGGAAATTCAATGTTCGGTGCACTCGTAAAAGATGTGGCTTGGTCGGTTTGGACCTCCTTTAAAAATCCCATTCGACTAAAAATTTGAAGGAAAATGTCAACAATCGTGGTTGAACAAAGATTTGTGACAGGAACTGCTGCATCCAGATATTTTGAAGACATGCAGATTGCAGTTATAAGATACTGTAATGTATTTTGCAGTAATTTACAAAACAGACAATCTTAGTAGAACATAAATTTTATTTCTAGTCACGTTGATAGACAAATTTTATAC